GGGAAAGGTTTTTAGTTTTAAAAGCAGTGAGACCACAGTTGTGTTACTAAAGAGTTACTTAAAACAGTGACAGCTACAGTTGTGTTATTCAATAGTTATTTAAGACAGCAAGAGCCACAGTCGAGGCTCCTGTTATCATGGACCAGGCTCTAGTTCTCAGGAATATATAAGAAACATTTCCTGTGAATTCGCATTCTCTGGGATAACGTAGAACTAGGGTAGATATGACTGAAATGTATAAACTGAAAACAGGAATAGAAAAAGATATAGAAAACATTCTCCTGAAAATATCTGGTCAAGACAGGACTCACAGCAATAGCCTCAAGGATGCAGAAAGCTCTGGTTTGGCAATAGAATTGTAGATGAGTGGAACAAATTCCCAGGTAGCGTCAATGAGACGAGGATGTTGGGTAGCTTTATATACAGTTTGAACGAGTATATGAGTGGGAAGATGTGGGTTAGACCTGTCTAGCATGGGTCAGTAGGACTACTGCACTGCTCCTTTATTGTTAGGTAAGGCACATATGCAACAGTTAGACAACTTTATTCCGAAACGTTTCGCCTACACAGTAGGCTTCTTCAGTCGAATACAGAAAGTAGGCAGGAACAGTAGAGATGTGAAGACGATGTAATCAGTCCATCACCCTTAAAGTCGTAGAATTTGAGGTTGTCAGTCCCTCGGCCTGGAGAAGTTCAGTTCCATAGTCAGGAACTATCCTTTATTACTGGCTCTTACTTGGTATATACGCGACTGATGCCCACGCCATCTCAATTATTTTATAAGTTAACTCAAAAGGTACTTCAGTGATACTGCATCACTCAGTTAAGCATCACTAATCTGGCCAGGAGACGGATATGCTCATAATCATCAGTACAATACCATCATCCTTAATATTATCATCTTCATGGTCTCACTGGTTTATAAACAGCACGTATCCGCATATTTTAGCTTATTTGCAATACGTTGGTAAGTAGGTATTAGTCTTGTTATATTTGAAAAATAAAAACAATGCGGCCTCAGGGGCGGAGGGGCTAGACATCCAATTGACTTTCAATTGGCCCTGTTTGGCTACGCTTTCAGAAGCGGTTCCATATAGCTGCTTTATAGTTAGCTCTGACTGCGTGCAAATGAATGTTCTCTATACAGTAGTAGCTGTCCTGAATCTATATCACCCAGTGATATGATGATAAAATGTTAAGCATAGAATTAAAACATCGGTAACTTCGCCCATTATAATAATGGAGGAAACGTTTTGTGAAGTATGAGGGGAATGAAATAACATTCAGGTGTCTGTATTTTCTTATACCGTTTTGGGATTCTGTACCTCAGCAGCGTTATTTTCAGCCATCTGGTAGCACAGTTCAGTAAAGTAACATCGATTAATGTCCTTCCTAGATTTTTCAAGAATAAATCTGATGGGTTTCGTCTTAATTTCTTCACATGTTAAAAGATATTCCCACTGTCAAATTCTGTGATTAGATAGAATGTTGACAAAACAGATGCCTTCTATGGAGCCTCTTAAAGATCTCTCCATATCTTTGATGAACTGCTGTTGATAAGTGTCAAACACACCGTCGCCTTGAACACTTTCCTCAGATGGTCTCACGACATTTCTAAATACTTGGTCAAGCTAATCCTTGAAGGTTACATTATTACCAATCGTGTCATTACGATTTGGTGACTCTTTTCCCATTATACTCTAAAACACATCCTTGTCATCAGTAATACATGTGGATGAACTAGGAGTTTCATCAGCAGGAGATGCGTTATCCACAAGCTTTTTGGAAGCTGCTCTTTTATTCGTTATCCTAATATTACCTGTATCATCCAATAATGACCAAGGTGATGCTCCAGGTGGTGCTCCAGCATAACTCTCATACTCAGCTTCTTGCTGGATGCAACGAACACTTATAGTCTCTTTTGAGAACTATGATATTCTCTTTGTTGTGAGTTTCGTTCATGATGTCAAAAGGCTTCAGGTTCATCCTTGATAATTATTAAACACAAGAGGCTTCCGGCTGGGATACTGTTAATGCCCCGTCATTTTTCTTTTGTGTATCCAGCAGGTTTCGGCAAACATAGGGTGTCGCAGTTGTTATATTAGAAATGTTGATTAGTTCCATTTTATTCATCACACTTTTATGCTCTGAGTTCCACCAACGACTGCACAGATTTTTCATCTTTAAACATTAGAAAAGCAATTAAATGACGATCTCTTACTCCAAACCCACATATATCTATTAGATATCTCATCTGTTGTAAACGTTTCTCGGTACTGAACAATGATATAGTAATGGCTCACATTACCTAAATTGAGACTGAATTCCTTTGTGTAAAATTGCGTCTAAATATAATTTTTTATAGTCTCTACAGAAATCTTTCTTAAAGGGTAATTGTCACTAAGGTGGAGAACAAAGTCTCTTCCACTTTTCGTCGATGAATCTTTGGGTGTGCTTGAAATAATCAGGTCATGTGACAATAGTGAACTGATAGGTACTTTGTACATTGCTTTTCGTCGCAGGCAGTGCACCATAGTATCATAATTAGATAGATGATACATGACGTACCATTAACCTTCTCGAGAAGCCCGTATAACCTTTGTAGATTTAGCGCTTTTTAAATAATAATAATAATAATAATAATAATAATAAAAAATAATAATAATAATAATAATAATAATAATAATAATCAGCCCCAACAAAATTTATACCATGTTCCGAATGACGATGATCGACGGTGCTCAAGGTACTCAGGGAACCGCTGCAGTATATGACAGACATATAAGTTCTAAAACTCTGTTTCAAAATTTTCCTTACATTGTAGAGATACCTGACGGAGTTCATCGTTGGTGCCATGTGACAGACTTCGTCAGGGTGACCTTTCTCGAGTCCAGTGTTTTTCAGCGGGGGCCATTTGGACACCAGAGGAGGAAAATCAAGTATTAAGGCCAGAGGATGAATTGATGAAAGGTTATGCACCTTCTGAAGCTTTCCTATAGACGCAACATGCGGTATATACCCAGTTAGCACTCCATTGGGCAACATGTTTAATCAGCCAATCATGCAGCAGCACCTTAATGTCTAAAAGCATATAGACATAGTCAAGATGTTCAGCTGCTGTTTAGACCAACCGTCAGAATGGGGAAGAAATGTGATCTAAGTGATTTTGACAGTGAAGTGATTGCCACTGGTCAACGACAGAAAATTCGTTGCCAAAGATACTTGAAGTATTTAGGGCGTTTTGTCGTTTTTGAATTAGAAAATAGCAGTAGGCTTTTCAAATTAGCTCTACTTTATGAGATATTCCATAACTACCCTCAATTAACACGGACCTTAATTGTAACGCGGTATATATATATATATATATATATATAATATATATATATATATTTTATATATTTATAAAATATATATAATAATATATATATATATATATATATAGTGACAATTTTGTATGTACAGATAGTTTTAATAAAGATTATAATTTTATTTTTAAACTATTTAATATTTAACGAGAGAAGTTGTATCAACAACGACCACATAACAATATTATAACCTTCATTTTGTTATTTTATCCAGAGAAACACGAGTTCTTCACGAAGAACCTCCTTAAAAAATCCCAGTGCATTTTTCTACATTTATGGCAAATACTCTTTACAAAAACAGAGAGAAAAATAATAGAATTTGCAAAACAATCTTGTCTCGCTTATTTTGGAGTGACGCTTGCAGATTAAGACAAGTGTCCGGCACCTCATATGGTTTGCAAATCTTGTGTAGAATGCTTACGACAATGGAAAAAATAAGCAAAGAAAAAGTTTAAACTTTGGTGTGTCTATGATGGGGAAAGAGTCGAAAACCACCACGACGATTGTTATTTCTATATGATGGATGTGAATCTGGGATGGCCAGTGGCACACCGTTGTTAGTGCCAATACTGTACTGTGACCTTCATGATCACGTGACCCATGTTTTTCTTCTTTCTGAACCCGCCTGGTTTAGTTGGTTTAACTATAACATTTTACTACTAGCGCTGAATTCTCAAAAATCTTTTTCTTTTATGTTTGAATTATCAGACACGATCACTTCAGGTAATGCGGTAAATTTTTCCATCATAGGAAATGAAATTTTTTTTTAGCAAGAATTGTATTACACATGTTATTCCAATGGTCTCTCCAAGACGGCAAAAGTTACAAAGGTTTATAGATGGATCTGCAAATGGTGAGCTGGGTAGGTGTTTATGTAATAGCAGAAAACCAATTGTTCATTCTTCTATGGGCAAAACTTCAGCTAAAACAATGCTTATTAGGAAGTTAAGAATTATCTTGGTATCAGTCAAACTGGAATCTAACAGAGATGTTTCTTACAATGTTTCTCACAGTTTCTTACAATGTTTCTTACAATGCATTAACTGATGGTCTGTTGTAATAACTGGCTGGTCTCATATTTAATTTATTGATGACATTTCGCTATATTGAGTGTGACTCTGAAGATGGCTCTAATGACAGTGGTTGATGGAGTGGTAACATGTGACACTCAAGGTGGCACTAATGATAGTGGTTGATGGAGTGGTAACATGTGACACTCAAGGTGGCACTAATGACAGTGGTTGATGAAGTGGTAACAGTGTGACATGACTGTGGTTGATGGAGTTGTAACAGTGTGACACTCAAGGTGGCGCTAGTGACAGTGGTTGATGGAGTGGTAACATGTGACACTCAAGGTGGCACTAATGACAGTGGTTGATGGAGTGGTAACAGTGTGACACTAAGGTGGCACTAATGACAGTGGTTGATGGAGTGGTAACAGTGTGACACTAAGGTGACACTAATGACAGTGGTTGGAGTGGTAACAGTGTGACGCTAAGGTGGCGCTAGTGACAGTGGTTGATGGAGTGGTAACAGTGTGACACTCAAGGTGGCACATCCCTCCCCCACGGTGCTGCTTGACCCTTTTGGGTTTGGTGTTTAACTTAATAATAATAATTTACCTTACTACACATAGATATCTCCCAACCTGTTCAACTGAAGACAAATCCAATCCTGTAAAGTAAAAGGACACAAGTGCAACTAATGTGACATTTTATTATGGCAACGTTTCGCTCTCCAGGAGCTTTATCAAACCGTTACAAACAGTACATAACGAACGAACGAATGAAAGTTCAGGTAAGATCCCAAATGGGATGAGCGGGGAAGACGGGACAGACGAAGAATAGTGCTGGAGAGGAGTGTTCTTAGTCGTAGAAATAGAGCCAGGGCTTAACCCAGCAGCGAGGCGATCGTGGGACAGATATTGAGAAGAGAAATTCAGGCTCTTCTGTTGGAACTCCGGTGGGGTGAGCGGGGAGGAAGGGACATGCGACGTTTAGCGTTAGAGAGGAGTGTAGAACTGAGCCATGTCTTAACCCAAAAGCTAAGGCGAACGTGGGTCAGAGAATGGTACCTGTCAGAGAAGGTACCTCTCGGAGAATCCAAGGCTATTTGTAAATAGCCTTGAGATGTTATCAACAAATTTTGTTGAAAATAAGAAAAAGTTTTGGAGTGAGATTAACAAGTTAAGAAAGCCTAGAGAACAAATGGATTTGTCAGTTAAAAATAGGAGAGGAGAGTTATTAAATGGAGAGTTAGAGGTATTGGGAAGATGGAAGGAATATTTTGAGGAATTGTTAAATGTTGATGAAGATAGGGAAGCTGTGATTTCGTGTATAGGGGAAGGGGGAATAACATCTTGTAGGAGTGAGGAAGAGCCAGTTGTGAGTGTGGGGGGAAGTTCGTGAGGCAGTAGGTAAAATGAAAGGGGGGAAGGCAGCCGGGATTGACGGGATAAAGATAGAAATGTTAAAAGCAGGTGGGGATATAGTTTTTGGGGGTGGTTGGTGCAATTATTTAATAAATGTATGAAGAGGGTAAGGTACCTAGGGGTTGGCAGAGGCATGCAAAAGTTCCTTTTTATACAGGGAAAGGGGATAAAAGAGAGTGCAAAAATTATAGGGGGATAAAATCTGTTTAGTGGGACCTGGTAAAGTGTATGGTAGAGTTATAATGAAAGAATTAAGAGTAAGACGGAGAATAGGATAGCAGATGAACAAGGAGGGTTTAGGAAAGGTAGGGGTGTGTGGACCAGGGTTGTTTACAGTGAAACATATAAGTGAACAGTAATTTAGATAAAAGGCTAAAGAGGCTTTGTGCATTTATGGATTTGGAAAAGGCGTATGACAGGGTGGTAGGGGGCAATGTGGCAGATGTTGCAAGTGTATGGTGTAGAGGTAGGTTACTGGGAAAAAGTGAAGAGTTTTTTACGAGGATAGTGAGGCTCAAGTAGAGTATGTAGGAAAGGGGGGAAATTTTTTTTCCCCGTAAAAGTAGCCTTAGACAAGGATGTGTGATGTCACCGTGGTTGTTTAATATATTTATAGATTGGGGTTGTAAGAGAAGTTAAATGCGAGGGTCTTGGCAAGAGGCGTGGGGTTAAAAGATAAAGAATCACACACAAAGTGGGAGTTGTCCCCACTGCTCTTTGCTGATGACACTGTGCTCTTGGGGGATTCTGAAGAGAAGTTGGGAGAGATTGGTGGATGAATTTGGTAGGGTGTGCAAAAGAAGAAAATTAAAGGTGAATACAGGAAAGAGTAAGGTTATGAGGATAACAAAAAGATTAGGTGATGAAAGATTGAATATCAGATTGGAGGGGGGAGTATGGAGGAGGTGAACGTATTCAGATATTTGGGAGTGGACGTGTCAGCGGATGGGTCTATGAAAGATGAGGTAATCATAGAATGATGAGGGAAAAGAGTGAGTGGTGCACTTAGGAGTCTGTGGAGACAAAGAACTTTGTCCTTGGAGGCAAAGGGGGGAATGTAAAGAGAGTATAGTTTTACCAACGCTCTTTATGGTGT